AGAGAGAGAAGAGAGAGAGAGAGAGAGACAGACAGACATTGATTTGTTGTTCCACTTATTTATGCATTCATTGGTTGATTCTTGTACGTGTCCTGACGCGGAATTGAACCCACACCTTGATGTATCGGGACAACACTCTAACCAACTGAATTACCCGGCCACGGCCTCTTGAGTGTCTTTTAACCTATACGTTTCCCCTTCATTATTTTTCCCTTAAACCATTACCTTTGTCCAGTAATGGTAACCTTTATTTTCCCAGGATTCATTTTTTTTAAAAAACAGCTGTTATTGAGAAATAGAAAACAACTACAGAAAAATACAGAAAACGAAGTGTAGTTTAAAATGAATTGTTATAAAGCAAATATAAGTACCACAGTGGCCAAGAACTAGAACGCTGTCATCACCCCAGAAGCTCCTCTTTCTTCTCCCCGATGTAATCAGGATCCTGACTTTTATGGAAATCTCTTCTAAGGTTAATTTTTACTTTCCCCTGTGGAATTTCCTGGATAGTCCTGCATCGTGAAATCTGTGTCTGCAAAAAATGTTTTGAGCACGTTTACCTTAAAAAATGTCATTGTCTGTGTAGCAAGGCTTGACTCTGTTTGTGAGCACTCCTTCGTTCTCACTCTGCCGACGGACCTCCAGGCATGCCTCCTCTCCCTTCAGGGATGTTTTCTCTTGTTGCTTCATCTCTCTGGACCACTTCCTGTCAGGAAAGAAACTGCATCCCTCTGAGTGCTTAGTCATAAGCAGTAGAAACCCTCTCTGGCTAATTCATTAAAAGGATGTGGGTCTGATTCAAGACTCTCTGAGCGTGTTGGGAAAGTGTAGGCTTGAAGATCATGCCTCCAAGAACAAAGCTCAAAGTCACGCAAAAATGGTCTCACAAGCACTCCTGCCACCAATCGGGGCACAGATATTGTTGCTTGAGCTCCAAACACCACTGATGCTGGGCTGCGGGTGCTGCCGCACGAGTCCCCGTCTCTGCTGCCTCACCCCGGATGGGGCCGCTCCAGCAGCTGCCACCCCTCCAGGTGGACTGTTTGGAATGCCAACTTCTAAAAGATCATAGTTTTCTATTTGGAGTCCAGAGTGGTGCATCTTATTGGTGGAGCTTGTGTCATGTGCCCATGTCTGCGTTTCGAAGAAAGATGGGAAAACAGATATCTGAGTTTTTTCCTTTTTCAATATTTTGTTAGTGGGAAGAGTACTTGTCACATAAGGTAGGGTCTGCTTAAATGTAGACTCAACATTTGGAGGGTTTGTGACCAAAAGGAAATGTCCACTGTAAAAGCCCTCTATCATTTTAGGAATCCATGCATTTTAACATAATTGATGCTCTTTATAGCCACTGGTGTTGCTCATATAATGCAGGGATATTTGACACAGGAATATTCCTTATCATTTCCAGGTGCCATATGTAAGACAGGAAGACAGCATCTGTATTTGTAAAGAACTGTATATTTAAAATACCCCATCCTAATTTTAACTAGTTGTAGGGATTTCTCTTTTATGTTATGAATAAGCTTAATGAGATGTCATAGTTTTTTACTATTGGTAGACAAACATTGTTATTTCATGGCGATGCTTTCGCTGAGAACCTTCTAGCTTATAGATAATTTGCCTTTTTTTTCAGGTATGGTCTTACTGTATACAAAGAAGGTACTTAATGAGATGTAATAGTTAAAAACCAGACAAACATTGGTATTTCATGGCAATGCTTTTGCTGAGAACCTTCTAGCTTATAGATAATTTGCTTTTTTTCAGGTATGGTCTTACTGTATACAAAGAAGGTTTAGAAAATGGGAGACACGTAGTAAATATAAATAGGATAACATAAATATAGTTAATATAAATAGTAAATGTAATAGGGCCATTAGTAAATATAAATAGGATGACGCTTGCTTTATAAAACTAAGATAACGTCCCTCTCATCATTACAAAGGCATTTATTTTACTGAGTTGCTGTGACACTTTGTGAGCACAGCTGTGTGAAACTAGCACAATAGCCCCTTGTTTACTTACGTGTGATGACTTTACAAACTGGCTGGTGGAGTTTTCACCTGCAGTGAGCCAGGGCGTAGTTGATTGGATGGAGCCAGGCACGTGTTGGGCCAGGGGCCTTGCTGATACTGTTTGGCTCTACAGGTTCTGTGCAGCGTTACTTTGGGTAGTTCCTCTATGTTCTTGTCCATTTCATCTTTCCAGTTCCTAAAAAGAATTATTCCTGACCCTTCTCCTTCACTTTTCTCACGGTTGTGATATGGGAAGACCTGAGACAGGTAGGGTTGAGCTTCTTAGAATAACACATGAGAATATAAAGGTCGTCATAGTAAAAACAAACAAAGATGAATGTATTATAAGATCTTTATAGCAGTGTGCACCCTGTTGGTTTACACAACAGTAAACTGTTGTTATAATGCCCTGATGGACGGACACATTTCTGACTTAGTGTTTAAAACAAGTGGTGCCCTAGTTTTGAATACTTAAAAACATCGCAGTTGTGGATTTAATGGGCTAAGTTGATGAGAAATTTACTTCTGGTTCATCCAGTTGCCTCTGCCTACACAGCCAGTAGAAATTGCCTTATAGAATGTTTATAAAGCTCATGTCTAAATCATTTGGGTTTATTTTTAGCATTATTCACTTAGCATAGATGGAGCCTTAATTCTACAAAGGAAAAAAATCCAAGGTTTCTAACTATCCAAGGTAATGGGCAGAAAAGGGTAAGGATCGATTTACTGGTTGCTCGATGGTTAGTGATACATTTGATTGCTATTGTGGTTCCAGATAGCAATTATTTCTAATATGATTTCTTTTTCAGTGAGGGCCGAGGCAAAATGACAGTATTTTCAGTTAAAGCTATGTTAGCAACTATGTGTGGTGGAAAAATGCTGGACAAATTGAGATGTAAGTATTTTCATATTATTTGAAATATTTTATTTTCAAATTATAACTTTTAAGCAGTTTTAAATGAATATTTTTCAGAATTTTGGATGATGCTATATTGAACATTTTTATTTTTTTGCTACTATATTACTCACCTGACTCAGAGTATGTAAATTATGCCACCTAATGTTCAGATGGAAAAGTTGGTTGAATTAATTTGTATACTATTTGTTTTTTAGGTTAAAGCAAGAGAATTGAGATTCAGAGCAGTAATGTTGACATTTTAAAAATTCTTCAAAAAATGTTTTCCATATTATTAAAAATTATTGTGTTTGAAGATGATTATGTTGATTGCTTTTAGTTAGAAAAGAAATTTGATTATTTTTACCAGGTTTGTAAAAGGTCAGCCCTTTTCTTTTTAAAAAAAATATATTTTTATTGATTTCAGAGAGGAAGGGAGAGGGAGAGAGAAATAGAAACATCAATGATGAGAGAGAATCATTGATCAGCTGCCTCCTGCACACCCGCTACTGGGGATGGAACTCGCAAACCTGGGCATGTGCCCTGACTGGGAATCGAACCGTGATCTCCTGGTTCATTGGTCGATGCTCAACCACTGAGCCACACTGGCCAGGCAGCCCTTTCTTAATAATTCCCTTCTTCATCAGGTTGTATTTGCTGCTATTAAACTGTTCCTGAGCACCTTGGAGTCAAGCTTAGTATTTAGAAATTGGCAGCATGAGTTTTCAATTATCTTCCCTATTTTTTTCCCCTTACTATTGGCCATTTTGGCATTTTAATGTTCACTAGATACTATAAAAAGGTGGTTAGGTGAAATCAGAGGAGGTGAAATGCACAATTAATTACTTTTTCTGCTTATGATTTTCATTCATTCACTCTAGATAGTTACTCACTGCCTAAGATATGCCAAGCATTGTGCCAGATGCTTTACATATATTTTCTCACTGAACCCTTAAAATTTCTTGGAGTAGCAGGTGGCATTTTCTCCATTTTATAGAAGAGTTAACTGAGGGGCGAAGCTGGGATTTCAATGTAGGCTGTCTAGCTTCAGAGCCCTGCTTTAAGTTACTTTGTTATACTCCACTATGCTGGTCCTGCACAGTGATCAAAGCGCCATCATACAGGTACCCATAGAGGAAGGAACTGTCAGATTTCAGGGAGTTAAGATAGAAGCTGTGGGTTTAATGAAATGTTGAGATACCCTGTGAATCGATTTGTTGAAGAAAATGGGTCATTTGTCTTGTAGCATTTCTCATAGACTGGATTTTGATGATTGGGTCCCCGTGATGTTCCTCTGTGCCCTACATTTTTAAATTTTAATTGAAAGATACAGAAACTTCAGATTCAAGTACAAGCTTTTGGGCAAGATTACTTCATTACATGCATTAGAACTCAGAGCTTAGATTATCTTTCACAAAAGTGAAATCTATACTTCCCTGGCAAGGGGTAATATTCTATTCTATTCTATTCTATTCTATTCTATTCTTATCTTATTTAATTAATTAATTTTATTTTAATTTTATTTTTTCCATCACCATTTATCCCCTTTATGCCCTCTTCCACCTCCTCCCACAATCAGCACATTATTGTCCATGTTCATGAATTCCCTCTTTTTTTTTCTTTTTTGCTCAATCCCTCTACCCCCCCACCCCCACCAACATGTGCTTTTTATTACTTGTTATCATGACATTGAAAGTTGGAAAACTAGATGGCTCACTAGATATAGATTTTGATATTCTAAAGAAAGATCTTAGATGTTTTTGGTCAAACTGTTACCCGGTTTGTCTTCATTTCAGAAACAGTTGCCATGTAAAACAAATTTTTGGTAGTGAAAAGTATAGTTATATTTAAGTCCTCTTCTCAGTTTTTTTTAACGTGGTAATATTACTTTTTTGGACTGAAATTTCTTTTTTAAAAATATATTTGTATTGATTTCAGAGAGGAAGGGAGAGGGAGAGAGAGAATCATTGATTGGCCGCCTCCTACATGCCACCTACTGGGGATGGAGCCTGCAACCTGGGCATGTGCCCTGACTGGGAATCAAACCGTGACCTCCTAGTTCATAGGTCAATGCTCAACCACTAAGCCATGCTGGCCGGGCTCTTAATAATTTCTTAATTCTAGCATGGTGTTTTTCTGAGGAAGATAATATAATATAGATGAAATTATATTTCATTCAAACAGAAAGAAAAAGAAAGTTGGGATTTTGTTTTTTAATGATGATGATTCCAGGTAAAGAATATACATCGACATGGGGGTGTGGGTATGGGTGAAAAAGGTGAAGGGAGTAAGAAGTGCAATTGGTAGTTACAAAATAGTCATGGGGATATAATGCACAGCATAGGGAGTATTACTGTAGTGTCAATAATATTGCAATACCGATGTATGGTGCCAGGTAGGTACTAGACTTATTGGGGGGTCACTTTGCAAATTATATAAATGTCTAATCACTATGCTATACACCTGAAACTAATATAAAATAATATTGAATGTCAACTGTAATTGAAAAAATAAAATTTTTTAAAAATGGCTAAAAAATGAATATAAATCGCCATTTAATTAGTACTGAATAAACTGATTCATAATAGAAAATTGATTATATATAAAAATGCACATTTTAGATGTCTCTGGAATTATTACGTTTCTAAATAGAGCTGATACCTGGAACGTAGTAAGTGCTAAGATTTTGCTAAGTACAAATTGTTGATTGAGTACTAAAATTACTGAATTCTCTGTTGGAACTGTTAGTGAAAAGGTAGAAATTTTAGTAGATGTGAAATTTGGAAGGTACCTAAGCGATAGCAGGTTTTTGGTGGTTTTTCTTTTGGTCTTTTTTTAGTGGTTTTTTTTTTAAATGTGGCTTTTGCACTTCTTGGAGGTGCACACTGACCTGCATTCAAGCGGCACTAAAGTATGCACGCCCAGGCACACGTGACATGTCAGGGGTGCTCAGAATGCCAGGCCTTTGCACACTGTATATGGTTGATGAGTTACAAGCCATTCTAGGTCACTCATTACCAAGTTTATATTATTCAGACAGATTTAAAATATGGCTTTATTATCTCCTTCATGTTCAAAATTATAGTTGCTTTACCATCTGTCACTGTTTCATTATTCTTATTGTACCATAATATCTTAGCTAGAGAATGAGATGATTAACATAAATAAAATATTCAGGTATTGAAGCTTGCCTCCACTTTTTAAAATTTTAATCATCCAGGGCAGAAATCACTTTAAATGTGGTCTGGCCCTCTCGTATTAAACAGAGCTCTCTGGTCATAATTTAAACACTTTTCATCTCTGAGGGATGTCATTCTCTGGTGCATTTAGGGCTAATTGTGAGGTTGGGGTTATTTGTCCCATCTCATGTTTTCAGACTATTGTGTTTTTTTCATTTCTTGAGTGTTTGTTGTGCTTGTTGGTGGCGATGGTGATGTTGGTTGTCCTTATCACTGGTAGCTGTGATGGTGTTGTCACTGTACCAGTCTCTACAAATCTCTCTTTGCTTCTGATTTATTTTTGATATACTACTGACAACAGAAATGTAACCAAGCTCCTAGCATTCTGCTTAAAGTAAGGGCATGCTGATTACTCGTATATCATGAGAAGCACTTGAGCTTTTGTAGTGTGATTGGCAGTTTTGGCTGTTTGGAGAATCCTTTTCCCCCTGGCTTTCTAGTTCTCAGCTATGTTCCATCTAGTTGAAGTGGCTGAATAATAGTGTAGACACACGTGAGATGTAACACTGCATTGTAACATCAAATAATATTTGATTGATTGTTCACTTTCTTCTACCTGCTTACCGGGCAACATTGTCTTTGTTGTTCTTAGTTTCTCCATCTTCCTGCCACTGAAGGTGCTTTCTGCTGTTACCTCTGTTAATGTTCCTTTTAAATAGGTTTTCTAGTTTATGGAACATGCCTTAGTGTTTCTACTTTTCTTCCTTTTATTTTGATCTTTCTGCTTTTACCTTTTCTTTTATATTTTTTCCTGTAATTTTGCCCACTCCCCTTTTTTCTTTGATTCTCTTGTTTTCTTGTTTTAGTGTCAAGATAGCCTTTGAAATGACTTAACCAATATTTGTGCCTTTAATTTGAAACATTTTTAAAAAAACATTTTCTATTGATTTCAGAGAGGAAGGGAGAGGGAGAGATAGAAGCATCAATGACAGGAGAGAATCATTGATTGGCTGCCTCTTGCATGCCCGCAATGGGGATCGAGCCGGAAACCCCAGGCATGTGCCCTGACCAGGAATCGAACTGTGACCATGCTAGTCAGGCTATATGAGTTCTTTTTATTCTACTTTGGAACTCACTAGATGGAACATTTTTAACATGCTGTATGCTTCCTTCCAATTTATTCTGTTATGGGAATACATTGAATCATTAGTACATGAACATACAAATATAATACAATTTCTTTCATACCTCATCACCAATATGCTAATATAGTGATACACTCAAACATGCATATGTCTTCTATAAATACATATATAAATGTTAAGGGATAAAGATAAGCTGCTATGAATTTAATAAAAAAATATAAATTATATATCATCTAGTTCTGTACACTGAAAAAGAGTAGGTAGGTAGACATGCATGAGTGGTTATTGGGTTTGATGTTTAGGACAAATATTAGGTAGGTGGGCCTCATCAACAAAGTACCCACGCCGTGTTAATAAAAAATGAGAATCCATGTTGACTAAAAATCGTGCTAAACTTCATGATACTTTCCAGTGATACTTCATGATCTTTCTAATGATACAAGTGACATAGAACCATTTATAAAAAGTTGATATTTCTTTATAGTTTGACTTTATTTGGTTTTGTTCTCATAGATGTTTTCTCCCAGATGTCAGATTCCAACGGCTTAATGGTATTTAGCAAGTTTGACCAGTTTCTGAAGGAAGTGCTGAAGCTCCCAACAGCCGTCTTTGAAGGGCCATCTTTCGGTTACACCGAGCACTCAGTCCGCACCTGTTTCCCACAGCAGGTAAGGGCAGTGTCACAGAGCCGAGGACCCAGGAGCACTCACCCACCACGTTTCCTCAGGTTTCCACAGGCTGCCTCAGTGAAGGATATACGTCAGTGATGGCGAACCTTCTGAGCTCGGCGTGTCAGCATTTTGAAAAACCCTAACTTAACTCTGGTGTCGTGTCACATATAGAAATTTTTTGATATTTGCAACCATAGCAAAACAAAGACTTATATTTTGATATTTATTTTATATATTTAAATGCCATTTAACAAAGAAAAATCAACCAAAAAAGTGAATTCGCGTGTCAGAGGTGTCATAGGTTCGCCATCACTGATATAGGTTCTGGGTCGGGGAGGAAGCAGAGCTTCACGTCCAGGGTGGGAATCGGCCTCCGGGTAAGGTTCACCGAGAAGCCCCCTTATCAGCGTGGTCCTCCTGCCAGGAAGCACACACGGTCTCATCTTCCCTGGGGCAGGGGTTTCTGGAACATACTGGCCTGCAGGCTTCACAAATGTCAGGGTCATGCAAGATGAAAAAAGACAGGAACCGTTCCAGACCACAGGGTCCAAAGAGACATGAAAGCTGAGCGCAGCCCATTGGCCAGGGTTTTCTTTCTCATAAAGGACGTTAGTGGGACAGTTGGAAAAATCGGAAGGAAGTCTGTAGACTAGATAATAGTATTCTGTCAGTGAATGTTAGTTTCCCGATTTTGATATTTGAGTTAAGAGAATACCCTGGTTTTTAAGAAATACAGTGTGGTGGGGAGGTGGGACGGG